CCAAATCCTTCCTTAGGCAGCCCGCAAGGCCGCGCGGGTGGACGCGGCCTCGCGTGTGCGCAGGGACGAGCTGTGCCGAGGGAGCAGGTTTGATTGACTGCGCTCGGGAGCCGAAACAGGATTAGGAGATTAGGTGCCACTGGTGAAAGCATAAAGGAACAGGGTTTGGGGAGCGTGTGTGGGAATGGTGGAGGGAGAGCGTTGTTGCAGATACATTTACATTCTCTTTTACAAATGCAAAGAGCAGGCAAAAGCCACTTTCAATAATTTATTTTAAAATCAATGCTAATGAGGTTCTGTCTCGTCAGTGGCCGAGTTTTACAATAAAGTCTGATTTATTTAGAAAAGATCTTTGGTGCCGCTTCCCGTCTAATGGGGGAGCAGTTGCAGTGACCCTCCAACTTTGGATCCAATTTGTAATTCACAGCGGAGGCCTGACCTGGTTTGCATTGATCAGCAGCGGGTGGAGGAGACAGCTGGGGCTGGGGCAGGGGCCGGGGGGCTGGGACCGCATCTTCCCAAAGTGCCAAGAAGCAGCACTTTATCTGTTGCCTCGTGATCAGGTTGCGTGGGATCAGCAGAAGACCCGTCACCGACTCATTAGGCTCCGTCCGTCATGGCTGAAACCGGGCTGCTGTTGGCTCTGCCTAAAGACGATGGCAAAAGCTGATGCCCCGGGGCTCCTGGCCTGAGAGGCAATAAGGGCACCTCTTGCTTTTGCACGGGACTTGGCTACGCTAGGACTTCTCTTGATCGCCAAACAGCCTGTTGCAACAGCCATGCGAGCAAGAGGGGCGGATAAATGCTGCTAGCTTGGCAGATTCAGGGCAAAAGGGCTTGCCTGAGCTTTGGCTTTCTGAAATGCTTCAAGATTGGGTTTTATTTACATTATTTCATTATATGGTTTGTAGTCTTTATGGTTGCATGGGTTGCAACCACAGCTAATGTGGATGCTGTGTGCCCATCTCGTCCCAGCGCACAGAGCAGGTCAGGCTGGGTGGGTCGTTCCTAGCACACTGGATGATGTTAATCCAGCTTCACCTCCAGATGCAACCAGACAGCTTTCAGTGAGCTCCTTAACAGCATATCTTTTTCCTGGGCAAGTCTTGGAGGGATGCCACTGCAGTCGGAAGCGTGGGGCCTTTGGTGCCCTGGGAATAAGGTCTCGTGTCGACCTGCAGCCAGACTGGCGCACTCTGGTGCTGGTGTCAGTTTGCTGGTTTATGGTTTATCAATCCAGATCATTCTGAGTTGCATTTCAGCACAGGTTATGGCAGGCTGGCAAAAAATGACCTTATTTAAGCCCATGCAGTTCTTGTGTATAGACAGACCAACGTTGCTGTCAGTCACTAGCCATTTTGCCAGGGCTTCCCCATAATCTCCAGCACCTCTGTCCTGGCTTTCACTTAATATTTTCCACAGTATTGCTCTTTATTATTTTGTTGAGTCCTCTTTCCCCACCCTCGGCAGCCATGCCAGTGCGTCTGCCCAGGGTCCCCTCTCTCCTCCTTAAATTCTGCGTCTTTCCACAATCCTTACTTGTGTTTGTCGTGGCATTTCTTCTCAGCGCCTAATTTTCTCTAGACTGACTTCTCTTGCACAGGAAGCATCTCTTCCTATAGGATGCTTGGTAAAGTGCTGTGTAAATTTATGAGGCTATAATAAGTGATTTGTTTTTACCAGTGTTAACAACAATTCATATTTTTATGCAACATGTTTTAAAATATTATCTGTGACTTCCTCCCTTCCACTCTTCACAATTAAGCCGGTAATTTGTTATTCTGACAGTCGGGTGCTCCCTCAGCCCGAGCCCTCTGCCTGCAGGCCGGGCACAGCAGTGGCGATGGCCGTTCACTGCTGCATCACACAGCTGTTTTGTGGGGGGCACCTCTCCTCGGGGGGCACCGACTCCCCTTCCCGATGCAGCTCGGGAGCAGGCAGCCAGTCCTGGACATTGCTTTCCTTTCCCCTCCCCTGGGAAACGGAGGAAATGATGATCCCCCTGGCACTGCTGAGGGCCCCCCCGGCCATGGTGGGGCAGCCCTCCCTCTCTTTGCTCACCTCGCAGTGACCAGCGCTGTCCCTCCCCGGCACTAACCCGGTTTCTCTGCTCTGTTTTTCCCTTCTCAGAGGAGGAGCTGGACCCCCCCTTTGCAGAGGGCACTGAGGATGCTGGAAGCGGACAGAGAAATGGTAGGAGCCCCCCTGCTTTGTCAAACACATAGGGCTTCCCGGGGGCCGAGGGCTCTGTCTCCGGCCGTGCTCTAACGTTTTGGGGAGCGGGTAACGATGGAGGAGAGTGTGAGGAGGGGAGAGGCCGCAGGATCAGACCAGCGGGTGGCAGAGGAGACTGCAAAGGGGAAAGTTCGGATAACTCAGCCTCTGGGGACTGTCCCCTCCAAAGCCCTCCTGTCTGCTGTGCTATGGGCACAGGGGTCACCTCTCCTTCTGAGGATGGGCACCAAATCCAAAGCCTCTCCGGTGGGAAACGAGCTCTCCACCAAGGAGCCCTGTTGCAAGGAGACCCCACGGGCATCCGCTCCTGCCTGATGGAATCCCCTCGCCGAAGGATCTCGCAGAGATGCACACGAATCCCTGTCCCTTGCGCTGTCCTCTGCAGGAGGCAACGCCTCGGAGAGGCAGTGGGGAGCATCCGGCGCTGGGCCAGGGAGAGCGGTGCTCCGGCCAAAACAATTGGAGGAGAGGGCAGGAAATGACTCAGGGCCCGAAGGAAGCTGGCGCAGGGAGGGATCTCGGCACTGGAAGCCGGAAGGCAACGCACCACCACCCTAGGAACCAGTGCCGCCTGCCCGCCCGTGCGGAGTGACCGGCCCGAAAGCATCCCCGCGGCAGCTGGCCCCCACCCCTGCTTTTTCCTTCAGGTCCCGACACGTGGGATCCGAGCGGAAGATCTGTTTCCTCCCCAGCTCCCCCCAGTCCCACCTGCTTCTCCTTCCACCATGGCTTCCGCCCCGGCACAGGAAAGAAATGCTTGTTTCCAAGCAGCCGGGGCCGAGCCAGCTGGGAGCTTCCTGCTGTCCCCGTGCTCTCCGCGCAGCGTAGGAAACCACGACCTCCCAGCAGCGCCGGCTCCGGAGAGCATCCCATGGCGTTGGTGCCGGAGCTCAGAGGTGACGGGCTCGTGGGGTGTCTGCCTGGCATGAGGACACAGGGCAGGCGTCCTGTTAGTTTGGTGGTGGAGACCAGAGGAGTTTAGCGTTGGCCTCTGGGGCTTGGCATGTGGCTAAACCAGCTTTGCACAGGCGCGTGCTCTCTCGAATATGCACACAGAGGCACACGCGAGTGTCCCAAGCATTGCTCACTGCTTGCCACTTTCTAGGCAGGGTTTCTAGCTGTCCTGCACCCTGTGCCTGCCCTCCCTGGCATTTCTGGCAAGCCTGGATCCAATGGTTCCCCTTAGCCAGCATCAAGCACCCATAGGTGTTTCCTGGGTCGGAGGGCACTCCTGGCTCAGGGCTGTTTCTACCACAGTTTCAGTAGCACTGGGTCAGCTGGGGTTGAGTCCCCAGTCTCCTCCTTGTGGAGACAGGAGCAAGTCAGCGTCTCTCCACTCCTTGTGGTTTGGCTGTGCTTTTTTCCCACTCGAGCACCCTCAGCATGATGATTTCTTTGGCCACTGGAGCATGTGGCAGCTACAGCAGGTAGCAGCGCCCCAAAGCCTGGAGAGCAGACACCCCGAGCTTTGCAAACCATCCTGCGGTCGTAACGCAGGGCCGTGCGCTCATCGGTGTCGGTTCCTCGGCACAGAGTAAAGGAAGCGGAGGGAATCAGGAGGGATGCCCCGTACGCACACGTGCACACACGCACATGCCTGTGGTCTCTCTCACAACTGTCCCGGGCATTTAAACATCCAAACAACCAGATGCCTGCTCCCCGCAGCTCCCCCGCGGCCTCCCTGGGGCTGGGGATCGGCAGGAGCAGAGCCCGTCTCTGCAGCAGGCTGATGCCCAAGGTGTCATGACGAACCTGCACCCTCAAGGCCACCCGGAGGATTTGGGGTTTTGCCTGTCATAATCCTGCCAGCTACTTAAATGCTCTGCTCATACTCATTAGCATCTTCCTGGCGGTTGTAATTGTTGTTAATTGTTATAACTGTTTTAGTTATTAGCATTGTCATGATTGCTTTAAGCCCTGTGTCTGTTTTTACGCTAAATAATAAATTAGGCTCTTGCCTCTGAAATGCTGGGCTGCGTTTCAAGAGGAAAAGGTTATCGCAGCGCCGGGAACCCCAGCCCTCGTGCCTTTTGCCTTGGTAATTTGTGCTTCAGTCCAACTGGGGAAAGGGCTAGAAAGAGAGGACAGGAGTCCTTGAACAGAGAGCTGGGCTGGACAGAGGGGGAGAAGGGACTATTTCTTAATTATATCACACAGCTAAAATGCCAGATGAGCATTTGGCTAATGGAAAACCATTGTTTCTAATTTCTAAGAACTACAAGGATGCCACAAAGCTGCAGTGGCCCAGCAAATCCCGCTGAGAGCTGCAGGCTTCTCCTGCCAAGACACCCATTTCCTCCGCTCAGTCTGCGGGCAGCTGAATCCCTGCCCTCTGCACCAGACAGGATTCGGGGCTCCTTCTGCAGTGCAACGTTACCTCCTTTCCCAGCCCCCTGTGCTTAGAATAGCAGGATGTTTCACCTAGCGTGACAATAGCAGTGAAAAGCACTGGCCTGCAGACAGTTGTCACTAGGTTTCAGCATCAACAGACTTCCAAAGCAACATGCCTGAAGCAAGAGGACTGGGCAGATAGTGCCTCTCCCACAGCTTTGCTGTGGGCTGTTCAGACGGTGGAAGAAAATGGTGCAGTTGTCACATTTGGCTGGTTTTCATAGTGACCCCAAGGTCCATAAACATGGGAGCAGGCTCTCGCCCCACTTACATCGGTGTGAATCAGTTGCATCGAAATCAAATCTCTTCCCTGAAAGCAAACTCAAGGATCCAGACTGGGGATTTGGGCTTTTTAAACCCAGTATCCCTCTTCTGCAAATAGTCTTAATTTTAACAAGAGAGTCTTGGTAGCTTGCACTAACCTCTTGCTTGCTTTTGAAGCTGTGTCTGGGAGTTAAGTGCAGAGCCCAACTGAGCTCTCATCACAAGACGTCTTCCTCATCTGATGCTGTTAATTTTGACTTTTTGAAGGCAGGGTTGGAGGGCAGGGTGAGACCTTTCATCAGGCCAGCTGACATGATTGAAAAAACTCTAAAAACTTTTGGGAGCATGAACCCTTCTGCAGGCTGGAAAGTTTCCTCTCTTTGTATTTGTGGAGTATCTTGCCCCAGATTTTGCATGAGGCTTCGGCAAAGTCTCTGTTCTGTCAGCCGATTCTCCTTTCTCCAGTCCTTGCTGACAGGCTCAAGGGTGACAAGATGCAGGATTCGTGGTTAGACCTAGACAAGCATGAACTTCCAAAATATTTTGTTGCACCACATTTTAAGGATTATTCCAGCCTATAGAGAGAAAACATTTACAGCTCCATATTGCATTGGCCTCTGGCCTTTCTGGCATACAGAGGTTAGCTTTCGTACCCACCGACCCAGCACTACCCAACCAGGGTGCCACGTAACTAAATCTCTTTGCCAGCAGATTAGTTACAGTGCTCCATAGGATTATTAATGTATTACTTATCACCTGGGGCAGCTTTTTCCCAGCTCTCCCGTTTCAGTGCCCTGTGTCTTGTCTTCCCTTCTCCCCAGTCCACAGCGAATGACCTTGTGTCACTGGGGAAAACCAGCAGGTCGGTAGCAAGTGCCGTCCCTCAGTACCGGGTTCTTCTCTGCCTCGCCGCGTTGTCCTCGCGCCCTCCTGCAATGGCCTTCTGTGCTCGTTACGCAGTTTGCTGCCTGCTACCAGAGTCGCTGCTCGCTTTGTGCTCCTGCCTCAGCCCCTGCGAGCTCGGATATTTCCTCTGCCTCCGGTTCATAACCTCTGGTTCCTGCGCTTTGCACAAGCTTAAATAACTCAGTAGCTCCTTCTCCTTCTATTCCCTTCACAATCTTTTCCTCGCCACTGTGTGCTCCCCCTTTAATACTTTCCAAAGGATGCAGACCTACTTTTTTTTTTCCCAGCCTTTCTATTTAAGTTCCCCAAGTCCCTGAGTCATTCCAGTTACTCCCTGCTGTACCATTATCCATCTCTGTAATGTCCTTTTTCATATTTAGGTGATCAAATCTGGGCACGGTACTCCAGATGCACCCTTATCACTCAGTCCCTTATACCATATTAGAAACATTTCCTCCAACATGTGCTCGATATTTGCTATTTCTGCTTTCTGGGCTTGCTGCAGCCGTGTGGCAGAGCCGCCCAGCCCGCTGGTGTAGCCCCGTGCTCGAATCCCCCCTGCTCAGTGCTGTTTTACTGGGTTTAATTATCCACCGGGGCCACGTCACGATGTCCGTGTCACGACATCTGGATCTGCTGCCGTCAGTCTCCTGCCTGAAACCTTTGGCCCAGGGGCACGTTTTAATGGTCATCTCGTGTGTGTTTGGGAACTGGGAATCTCACCGTCCAATTTTGGGTTTTTTTTTCTGTGGGAGCAGTGGGGAACCCACCTTTTGTGGTGGCTCTGGTCTCTCTGCCAGTTCCTGAGATGAGAAATGCCATTTTGAAATGGAAAAGATTGAAAGACCGTGTTCTGAAAACACTGGTGCGACATCTTCCAGAAAGCCCACGCACGCGGTCAGCCAGAGGCATCCCCCAGCCTTGGCACAGTGTTTGCCAGCTGTTCCATCAGCCCAAACCCACAGTTTTCAACAAAAAATCATCTGTCCCCTAAAAAGAGGGGAAAAAAGAGTTTGCCAGCTTGCACGGCCCCATCTCTTTCTCAAGCAGTGCGCTGAGCACCGGGACGGGGCAGATCCCGCCTGCTCTGGCTGCAAAGGCAGCAGAGGCTCTGCCTCCGCCAGCTCCCAGGTCGTATCATGCCACAGCAGTTTGGGACCTTCTCTGACCTCCCTGAAACGGGGGAGCGAGGCAGCTGTTTGCTCCCTGCTCTCCTCCTGCCCCTCCGGATGAGGCATCGGGGCTGTTTGATTGCTAAGCAAGCCCTGCTCAATTGACTGAAATCCCCTGCTTGGCTTCTTTAATTAATAAATAAACTTGACTGTCACCTTCCCCAGCAGCATCCTCCCAGAGGCCCCATGCAAATACCTGCTGTTAATTAACAGTATTCCTCTTCCAGGGCCGCTGGCAAGGCCGGTAACAGCCGTCGCGGCGGCAGCGGCGATGCCACCGGCGGCGC